TAGTTAATAATAGTATCCAAATATTTATTTGAAAAAAGTATTTTGAAAATACGTATTTTACATTTAACGTTTAAAATACAAAAGGGAAATCTATTTTCTATTTTACATTTAAAATAACAAATCAAAGGATTATTTGCATTTTGTATTTAAATACTTTTAAAAACCCATTTTGCACATTTCTATCTGTAAAGCTTGCACATGTTACAAATAATAAGGATGCTGCTGTTGTTCGTTTCAAATTTGCCGCGGAGGAGACAACGTTCCGTGCTGTTTCACATGTACCTACTATTTTGGAGGTTATCTTCTATGAAATCAAGGATTTAGGCTTCAAGAGCAGTGATAGAGTTCAGGTGCTTCAACAATTATCATGTCAACAATCGTTCTACAATCACATACTGACTTACTCCAATGACTGATATTGTCTTGCTGAATTTTAGGACCAGCAAACATTTACTTACTGTTCTTATCACCTTGTGTAAAATTTGCACTTATATTTAAATCAATATTTCCGTGCAGATGGCTCAACTGAGCATAAATCAAGTGTAAGATTTTCCGGAAAGCACTAACTACTAGATCCTTGTGCGAATTTCGTCGTGTAATTATGCATTCAGAATGACGGATGCTCCTTTGTTTAGGGATACGTCTCGGTAAAGTACGCTCTCAAGTTTGATCTTTCCCCGTAATTAAACAATTTATTTTGATAACGGGGTAATTTTGGTTTACTTCTGGAGGTAATGAGTCGTTTTCAGCAGTTTTCTGCACAACGCTACCACCATTTTATGTTCTACAGCCATCTCAAGAGAAATATAAATTATGCAAGATAGATCCATACAAAGCACCACGTTTTATGGAAAGGGTCAACGAATTTATGTGGTTGTATCCATGATTTTTCAAGAAAAAAAATACATGTATGGTAATAAGATCATCACTTTTTTATGGTACTGTTTTTCGACATGCGGTTCGCGATCCCTACTACAGGGGGAAAAAATTAAACATTTAATATTTAAATGTAACAGTTGCTTCCAATTTATACGAGGGTGGATTGATAAGTTTCCGGCCTAACCAAGAGATGACGCCACTAGGCCTACCTTGAGGTGACATTCTATAGTACCATCCTTGGATAGCTTGTAGCTATAGTTTCAGCCCGATCTCCTTGCTAGTGTAGGTTTGACAGCACGCTGAACAAGACGCCTCTGTGGTTTTCGTAAAAATGGAAAAGCAGGAAAATCGTGCTGTCATCAAATACTTTTATTTGAAGGGGTTAACGCCGAAGGAAATTAAAAAAGAGATGGACTCAACACTGGGGACATCCTCCCCGTCATATTCAACCGTTAAGCAGTGGGTTTCCGAGTTTAAAAAGGGTCGTGTGAGCACCTCTGATGGGCCTCGCTCAGGACGCCCCGTTGAGGTCACAACTCCAGATATGATCGAAAAAATTCATCAAATAGTGCTGGGAGACCGCAGATTGAAAGTGCGTGAGATAGCTGAGACCTGTAAGATGTCATATGAACGTGTGCAACATATTTTGCACCAACATTTGCATATGGAAAAGCTCTGTGCAAGATGGGTGCCGCGTTTGCTAACAGTCGACCAAAAATTGATTCGAAAAAACATTTCTACCGCAAATTTGTCATTGTATAAGCGTAATCCAAGCGAATTTTTGCGTCGATTCGTAACCGTTGACGAAACGTGGGTCCACCACTACACTCCTGAAACCAAAGAACAGTCTAAACAGTGGATTGGACCAGGGGAACCAACTCCAAAGAAGGCAAAAACAATTTTTTCGGCGAACAAGGTTATGGCTACTGTTTTTTGGGATGCAAGAGGTATTATATACATTGATTACCTTGCAAAGGGTAATACTATCACTGGTCAATACTACGCAGACTTATTGCAACGTTTGAGCCACGAGGTGAAAATTAAACGACCTCATCTGGCGAAGAAAAAAATCTTGTTTCATCACGATAACGCACCAGCGCACACGTCAATCGTTGCGACGGCTAAAATCAACGATCTAAAGTTTGAATTGATGCCGCACCCTCCTTACTCTCCAGACCTAGCCCCGAGTGACTATTTTC